CAGATCTGAAACGCAGTCTTTGAATTTACCCCAATTTGTCTACTTACTCAAACAAAAAATAGCTTTTATAAACAAAATGCCAATTAATTCTATAATAAAAGTAACTGGTCGAACTGCATTTGATAAATATTCTTTTCAGATTCAAAAGATCAATAAATAAGCAGTAAAACGTTAAAAAGTAAGGTAGCAAATTGGTAATTCAAAGTTTTCAGCTGTTGTTCTGTAACCTATAGTTTTCTTGAGTGCTTCGCTACAAGTCAAAGAAGTGAAGTTTTCAACACGGTGGATCACAGTTACTGTATAAAAGCAATTATGTAGAGTAACTTTTAAACCTTTAGTGTAATTTTGAGAAACTAAATAATCTATACCGTATAGTGAACAATCACAAAAGTCATTTAATCGCACTAACACGATGATTCTGAGTAGAAGCATCATATTATAGTGAAAAATTGCTACAAAAAAAGAAAGTAAATAGAACTTTCTAATACTTTCTTATTCTTAAAAACGAAAAAATTTTTAATGCTTTTGAATATCTACTCAAAATTGCAATTTTCATAATATATTTGTGAGGGAAAGTAAACGAAGATAATCTGACGTAAAACTTATTATTTTCTTGCTCTTCTTTTTTCCAAATAAATTCAGATTTATTTGTTAACATTTTTATTAGCGGTACTTTTCATGAAAAGTTTTCAAAGATTTTTTTGTTTTGATAAGCTAATTTTATTTGACAACAATCTGAAAAAATCTGGCTCGCCGATAAAACTAGCTGGTTGCAACACTTTATTCTATTTATAGAAATGTCTCTGCTTCAGATTTTTCCCACTTTTCTTTTGCAGATTATAGTTTCACCAGTTCAATGACGTGTCGTTTGTTTATAATGCCAAAAAAAAGTTTTATAGCTTAGTCAATTTAACCTACAAATTTGCATTCTGTTATTTACTGAATCTTTTCGTTGATACAGTTGTTCGGTTCAAGAATCACATAGGCCTAACATAAAAGTAATAAATATACTAACAAAAATAAAAAAAAGCCAAACAAAAATCAATTTATCAGTTTTACACAATACACTATTCTATCTAACGGTTTAAGCAGTAATTTTGAATATGTCTTAAAGCCACTAAATATTATTTTTTATTAAAAAATAATGCTCAATTCTGCTTAGCTGTAATCTTCTCTTGTAAATTTTAAGGTTATTAGAACTATTATTTTGAGAAAAGATCTCAAAATTAGCCTCTTTTCTCATCTGCTTATTTATATCCGCAAGACATAGTAGTTGACTTTTGAGTAGTCTCCGCAATGAGAAACTTATTGGGTTTTAGCCTTTTGCTTAAAAATTAAATTTTTTGTCTGTATAGTTACTTACTGCTTTATGAATATAGGTACTTGATTGTTTTACAGGTTTATTCTGTCAGCTCTTCTCATTACTTCTTTCACTGTAACCGAAAGTGATGCCAGAATGCTGAAGAAATTTCTGCTAAAACGTCGCTACTTAATAGGTTAGACTAATTTCGATTAAACTGACTACAACTTTTGCTTGATACTTTCGACTAAGAGTTTTTTTGTGTTTTATCCTCATAAATTTTAAATTTTTTCTAACTATAATGATGCAGTTAAGTCTAAACGTTTAAAGAAAAACAAATTTATTATAAGTTGGTAAAGTTTTTAAAATTTGGAGGTTCTTACTATACTTTATTATATTCTTTAAAATTTTTGGTCTTCTAGCGATTTTAAAATTAACACTACCGATAGTAAACTTCAACAATTATTACAGATTGTTAAAATAGATATACAAGTTTATGCTTCCTTCTGTAGTGCATACCTTTTAAAATAACTTTAGCTATTTGCTCGTAGTCAGTTGTTTTAAAAAATTACTGACAGTAAAATTTCGCAATATCAATAATTTTTTGAAAAAAAGTTTTGTTATTTTTGTTTACTCTTTCTACAGTCAACGTTAATAGAGTCATAAAATTTTTGCCACATCAGTATTAACTATTCACGAGGGTAACCCTTTAATCTGGTCTGCTGTACAAAAACTGTTGAATCGTACAATCATGTGTTTATTTGAATAAGACAAAAACAGTGACAACTTTGTGCATCATTTTAGTTTATGCATTAATCAAAGTTTCGCCGCCTTGATTGAACAGTTCACCTTGTCACTGAACCTCTTACTGGCTTGCTGTGTCGACCGTAAGCTGTTACCGAACAGACCCTCTAATGTATCAGCGGTAAGTAAGAATTGTCGGCAAACCAATCTATAGTGATACGGAACTTATCAAACGGGATTGCTTTTTTACACTTAATTATTACTTTCACAGTCAAAGTATCTCGATTAAAGTGGTCTTTTTCAGACATCAAGAATAAGCTATTTCTTCTTGTACGTCAAAAGACCTATTTTACACTTTTGGCTCAAGCTTTGCATTTCTTTACCGTTTTCTCCATGTATATAGTACAGTTAAACTTCCAAAATTACCATTTGCATCTTTTATATTCAGATTGGAATAGCCTCAGCTAACAGCAGGCATTTTGCCTAATCTATTTTGTTGCTTTTTATCACCATATTTTGTCGTACGTATATTTTCATCAAATATTTTTTTAAAAATTTATTCTTTTTCTCCTCCTCTCCCTCTTATGACACTGCATTTTTAAAATAGTTTGATTGATGTCTGTCGAAATTTTTTGATTTTCATTTTGCATTCTTTATTCTTGAACTTTTTTTTTTTTTTTTTTTTTTTTTTTTATATAATATTTT